CAAAAAACTCAATCATGTACTGTTTGTTCAAAAAAACCCAACAAATTTAACCTTTTAAACATATAAAACATGATTGGGGTTTTTTGAATAGTTTGAAACTTCATAGGTTTTTTAGACAAAATGTTAATTTTATTGAGTTTTCTTGAACATACAAAACATGATTTATGTTTTTTGAACGATTTGGAAACTTCATTTGGTTTAGATGTCATTTTCCCAATAAAAAAATTTGTATACATTTCAAAGGTTAGAGCATCTCTCCAAGTTAAAGGTTTTTTAGATGTTAAATAGTAAGGTTGTGTTTGGCGTTTTACAGCTAGTTGATAAACTAGCTTATTTTTTGAGCTTTTTTATGTTGTCATGTTTGGTAAGCCAAAAAGTAGCTTTTATGCTAGCTTTTTAAAAACCTACTTAAACTAGCTTTTTAGGTGCTTTTTGAAAAATTTTCAAATATACTCCTTAATTAATTTTGGAAATACATTCTTCTAAATGTCATTTTCTGTAAATTTATGTATTTCAGTTACCTTTCAGCTAGTTTTACCCAACGTCATTTTTTATCAGTCAGCATTTAAGTTATTAACTAGCTTTTTATTTAACAACTAGCTTTTCAACTAACAACTAGCTTTTCATCTAGTACGTCCAATATAGCCTAATAATCAATCTTAAAAAAAATAATAATAAATAATTAATAAATAAAATAGTACTGGAATATTTTTTGAATAAATACAATCAATAAATTATTTTGTACTACGTATTTGTTTTTATAAGTTTAAGTTTTACACGATTAACCCTTTAGTTCAATAATATTCCCTATTACTTAATATTATATTTAATGTTAACATTGTTTTTCACCTTATTAAATTTATGTTAATTTCATACACTACTAGAAAAACAACCTTTTACGACGCTCATTGCGCGTCTTAAAACGCTTAGACGACGCGCAAATGCGCATCAAGGAAGGCCCTGTCATAACGAGAGACGACGCGCTTTTGCGCGTCTTCTAGAGACGACACGCATTTATGACACACAATGCGTATCATTCAAGCCGGTGTCAAGAAAGGCCATGTCATAAATGAAGATGACACACATTTTTGCGTATCGTAATTTTTATTTTTATTTTTTAAAAATATTTATAGATTTACTAATTTTCAAATTAAATTTGCATTTCATGTCTCATAATAGAAAATAAACTACCATATACAAAAAATACAATCCATTGCACAAAAGTTAATGTCATACAAAAAACAAAATAAAATACAATAAATAAGAAAGATAATTCATTGCACTAGCATGTCAAATACAAATAATCATCCCTAACTATATAACCTAATACTACATTGCTATTAAGGGACATCATCATAACTCACTGAAGGTCTTGGAACAATGTTATCGTCATCAACTCTTACACCAACCTTGCTTTAGTAGATGGTCTTGGAACAATGTTCTCGTCATCAACTTGTATATCAGCCAAAAACTTGAAAAAACAACAAATATTTCATGTTTATATATATATATATATATATATATATATATATATATATATATATATATATATATATATAACAAGAGCATATTGAATGCATAAAATAACAAGAGCTAATAGAAAGTTATAATATAATAGGTCAAAATGCAACTTTCATGGTTTGATTAGGAAAAAGAAAAGTATTAGTGGTTCTCTTGTAGCCTACTCATAAAAGTACTAGGTAATTAATGTTGATGATAAATACATAAATAAAGAAAAACAACTAGAAACAATGATAAAAAAAAAATGAGAACTTACAGGAGGTGTGAGGGACTTGGTGGTTGCATTTGATTCGAGGAACTTCTTTGTAATCATGTGTCACCAGGTCTCTGAGAAGACTTCACTTCACTACCAGGTTTAATTGTACTATTGTCTTTGCTGCAATGAAACCGAAGAAGAAATATATTTTTCTAAGTAAATTACCTAAATACCCTCAGAAGTAAGTGGTAACATTTAACATTTTCTTTTACTATATTTGTAACGACCGAAAAATACAACCAATTTAAATTTTTCAAAAACAACCCGATTTCATTAAATTGTTTACAAAAAGGTTTTCAATACAAATCATTTAGAGTATTCCCAGAATCACATTTCTACGAAACCATGAGGAGCGGTACGATCACGCCTTCGCCTTGCCACAGTCTCCTGAAGAACCTGAAAAACATTAAACCACAACTATAAGCCCGAAAGCTTAGTGAGATACCCCCAAAATACCAACCACATATACGCCCTTCCAGGCTACGACCTTCCGGTCCAAAACATATAAGACATACATAACATAACAGAACATAGAACAACCATGCATATCGGGTCTACTGTGTGACTGGTCCGCCGTATCGGGCATTCAGTCCACCGGATCCATCCTCCGAGTCTAGTCATGTCCTTCGAGTCTACAGTGTGGTTGGTCCGCCCGCACTGGGCCTACAACTTACCTGGTCCACTCTCTGAGTCTACAGTATGACTGGTCTGCCCGCATTGGGCCTTCAGTTGGCCTGGTCCACTCTCCGAGCCTCGGCACGTCTGGTCCGCCCGCGTGGGGCCTACAGCATATCCGGACCGCTCGCTGGGCCTTCGGAACAACCGGTCCGCCCCGAGTATCTTGGCCTACAGCACAAAGCAGGACCGCCTCAACCCATCTCCAGTCCAAGCAACCATGTACACATAAACATATAATCATATAACAGTTCACATTCAAACAAGTCGATCTAGCAGATCACATAGCATAACATACTCTAAGTAGGATACCGACCTAACAGGTCATTAGCATAGTATCTCCCTATCTCTTAGGATACCGATCTCAATCAGGTCTCTAATATATACCGTCCTAACTCACAGGATGCAAGCATATCACAACAACAAAATAATAACAACTACCCGGATCTCAATCCGATAAGGGCCGGCCTTGGTGCCTTAGACCCTGTTGATATAGTGAGGATAACTCACCTCGAAACTGCCGGCTGAAAGGATAAGATCCCGCTGCTCCAACCCTAACACGAACTCCTTCACTGAACACCGAAACATTCAATTCAATAAATACCCTTAATTACCAAAATACCCCTGGAAGACAACTGGTCAACCTTGGACAAAGTCAAAATCAACCCCTGACTGACCCTACTCGCCGAGTCAACCCGATGACTCGCCAAGTCCCTATGCTTAGATGTTCCCTCCATCAGCGACCCAACTCGCCGAGTCACCCCAAGACTCGCCGAGTCCAACAACTCTGAGTCTACTCGCACCCAACTCACCGAGTCATCCCTTAACTCACCGATTCTCGACTCAACCAGGAAATATTGGGACTCTTCGACAAGACTCGCCGAGTCTAAGAACAGACTCGCCGAGTCTAAGGCTATCTTTAACCTACTCGCCGAGTTGTTCTTCCAACTCGCCGAGTTCCAGGCCATCTTCAAGCAACTCGTCGAGTCCACCCATGTGACTCGCTGAGTATCACCGTTCTGAATCAATTCAGAAGCACTCCAGGCCATGCAATTGATCCAAAACATAGATCTAGCCTCCTACAACCCATCCATCACGTAAAGTGGCAAACTTTACGTGAATCCATGAAGATCTAGGCATTATACACATTAGGGCTAAGGTTTGGGACAAGATAGCTCCATTAACAACACAAGAACAGGGGCTTTAATGCTCTTAAGATCTTCTCCACTCCAGATATGAGGTAGCAACCTCAGATCCACCCTTCAAACTCAAGATGTCACACAACTAAGCTTCCCACACAACCCCAAAATGAGAATATAAGAGAACACAACCCAAGAATGAAACAGTACCTCCAAAGAATGCCCCAACAACAATGAAACTCGAATCCAAGCAAATCCCTTTGATCCAAGCCTCTTCTCCTTCAAGATTTTCTTCAACCAACACCTCTTCAAGCTCCAATTTGCTCAACAATGGGGTTCATCCATGAAATTAGGGTTTCTGGGACTCAAGGGGGATCAAGGAGGCTGTGGAGGAAACATAATGATCTTTATATAGGGCTCATTCCCCGGATTTAGGGTTTTCTTCGCCCAGCACCTACTCGCCGAGTCCATCTTTGGACTCGCCGAGTAGGTCACTTGTCACGTGACCAAAGTTGCGACTCTACTCGCCGAGTCCATCCATGGACTCGCCGAGTCGCCCTTCAAGATTTACACTTTTAGCCCTTCAACACTACTCTTGCTATTCCGGGATGTTACAATATTTATCTCTTTCTCTTTTTTCTTTTGACATAAAACAATTAAAATTACATGGATGAATCATGAATATCTTATGTTAGGAATAATATAATTCCATAGGATTTGGAATTGGATTCCATTCCAATCTTTTTTTTTTTTTTAACTTTTTATTTACATTTATAGGATTAAACAAACTACAATGACATCAACTGTCAATAAGGGCACTCTAGGTTTCACTTTTAGGAGCGATAAAGAGAAAAAAAATATGTTAAAACTTCATCTTGTTTTATGTGTCAATAAAGAGAAAAAAGCAACTAACTTACTAACCTTCATAATATTCATTTCATCATTCAACATTCTAAGCTTCTTATTTAGACTACATCTTGAGCTTTGTAAAGATGTCAAAAGGTGAGTTAACGAAAAGATCATAAACTTATAAGAATGATAGAAGGCTATTAAGCAACTTTTTTTGTTAAATGGTAAATCTAATATAGTCCTAAACTACTCCAACTTCCACTTAAAGTCTCAAACAGGAGCTGAACCCTTCATCAAAAGAAGGAAGGGCAAAACCTGACAAAAAAATGGAGATCAAACAAAGTAGTTACCTGTATAGGAGCATTGAAACTTAAATAAATCAAAAAATTGTCATCGAATATTTGGTGGGTAACTATTAAATTAGTGGACTTTGCCTACAATCTAAACAAATAGTGATGGTAAATTAAATAATACTTGAAGAAAAAATATGTATTAAAGAAACAGACCAATCAACCTTCATAAGTGCATATAACAATCGCCACCATATTCTAGGTGTTGTGTCACCCACCGCCACCACCTATTTCCATTGCCACTGTATCTGTCCCACCACCACCACCTTTTCCTATCAACATATAAAACCCACAAAATTGTAAGTAACAACTGAAGAAAAAAAATGTAAATCGAGATTTCATAAGACCAAAGATAGCAAATCCAAAAATAAAGAATTAACACAAAATAAGATCAAAAGGGTAAGCAAAAGAACTCATCTATTTCAGCAGGCAGCAACGTCAGATGCCTACCTGGACTGACCAAGGTTGAGGTGGCGACTAACAAACAAAATGTCGAAGCTTGCAAATTGAACATTAACTAATAATTCAAAATCTATTTATTTGTATCAAGAAAGTTTCAAATAGTGAAAGTTCTTGAAATATTGTAATCATCCATTTTTCTGGATTGGGTTTAATTCGGATTTGTAGCTCACTATAGTTGAACGTATGTACTGCTTCAGGAAAAAAGGTAAAATCTATGAGTATGAAGAACTGTGGGATTCATGCTTATATATGTATGTGATATGAGTAAGATTACCACACATGGATAGGGTAATCCCAAAAGAGATTGATATTGCAATTCCATAGAGGGCAATAGAATCAATGCCTCTGTTGGTTGAATAAAAACACATACATGATTCACTGAACATGTTCATATAAATACATATCTATAGAGATTTATGAAATAGGAGACTAAGGATGTGATTTCATTTTGATGATACACTTGTAGAAGAACTGGCAGTATATGAACCTTACGTGATAGTTTTGGATTTATGATGGGCAGGAACTTAACTTACAGGGGTACAAGAAATAGGATAAAGATGGATGAAAAAGAAGAGGATAAATATGGGATAAGTTAAGAGAACTGAGTAACTTATTTCTTGACCATACCTGTACTAAATAGCCAACAACCAAAAAGCCCTAGAATGAAAATGGATAGAACAACTAATCATCTTACCTCTGCCTTCCCCATACCTGAACAAGTTAAAACAAAAAATCAAGTTAAAACAAAACTAGATATAATGATTCCTCGTTTGGTATAACACCAGATCATCCACCCTTAAAGGTAGCACCTTTTCTGAAATCCACCCTCATACCATTAGAGAGAGGTTCTTCACAAGACAAATTATCCGTGTCAGCTTCCTGTTTTGTTACACCACCAATGCCATCACATACAATGTTGATGTTTTTCAGTTCAGGTGGGACCAAATTACCCTCATTCTTTGGCTTCTTCTCGTTTCGGTCAACTTTAATATCATGCCTATTAACTGTCTTCACTTTTTTATGCACAGAACCACAACTACTATCCTCCCATTTTTCTTTTTCAGTCAAATACAAGAGTTCATAAGGAAGAGGGGATAAAAGTAGACCTCCAAGAACCGGAAATGATGTCATTATCTATTTTAGAATCAAAATTTCAAAATTAAAATCTTACCCACATAAAAAGACGATCAAGTTTCAAGAAAAAATTAGGAGCTTTACCAACCTCAAGAATACTAGTGGGTGATTCCTCATGAGGGATGCCATTAGGCAAGTGACAAAAATCATCGCTGTCTATAGGACTAGCTTCCAATGATGATGAAGGGGAGACATCAAGGCCAAGTCAACTGTAGACGGCGATGGAGTCGAGGTAGGGTTTGTGGAGGCTTTGCAATCGACAATAAATTGTTTAATCGGAGAGCAATGGAAAGGAAATGGGGTAATAACCCCCAAATTAGAAGCAGCTGAATTTCGGAGGGGGGGGGGGGGAAGAGGTGAGCAGAGGTCGCCGGTGGGAAGTGAAGCGGTGTAGGTTTGAGAATCCAAGAAAATCCAAGAAATTTGTCAAGAAACGTATACATGTACTCAGGTTAATAAGACACGAGAGTACCTTTGGCGGGAGCGTTGATAAATAAAACCCTAGACGAAGGATTTCTGGCTTATGTAGCTGATAACGAGGGTTTATGAGTTTTTTTGGTGGGTATTCTTTTTATCAGTGGATTCATCTTACTCGATCTCACATACTGATATTGATTTCCTGCTTCTACTCCTAGAACTTGAATGATAGCTCTTCTTCCTCCTCCTTGACCTAGAATCATATGAATCATTGATGAGAAGAACATGAAGATAAAAGATGGAAACAGAGGTGGAGGAGAACAAGGGAAACCAGATGCAATAAATAAGAAGGCCAAGACCGACTAAGAAGTGATCGATGTCAAAAAAAAAATAGGAGGGAAACGAAAATCGCTAAAATCGCATGAGAGAATCCATGAATTTTAGGGAAAATACCACCGGTTGTTTGGGATTTTTCTTAGTAGCGAGATTTTTTATAATTCTTTTGGGATTTCATTCTATAATTTTTGGGAGTGCAATTCGATCATCGATGGTAGAAGGGGTTTTTACAGAGAGTGAAGATCTAGAGGAGAGGGTGAGGATGCGTATCAGGTGGGTTTAATTTTTGGGTTCACCGGTGGAAACCAGGGAGAGGAGAACAAGTGGGATTTTTAACTTTTGGGTTTTTATTTCCCGCTTAGCTATTAAATGATGGAAAACACTTCTGTCACTAAAAAATTATAAAACGACATCCTTAGACGACACACGTTTTAATATAGGTGCCCTCCGTGTTTTTTTGGACATGAATTTTAGTGCACGCAAAAATGCGAGTCTTAAATCCTTAAATTTTTTTTTGAAGAGATGACACTGTTTTAATGTCACTCTCTTTTGCGTAACATAAATCAATGAGTGTCGTGGTTTGCACGTCGTAAAAGGGTCTTTTTCTTGTAGTGATATATGCCATTATTAAACAATAATGTTAAAATATCATATTTGTCCAATCTAATTTTTTAAATATCATATTTACCATTTTAAATCTCTCTCTCTCTCTCTCTCCTCTTTCTCTCTCTCTCTCTCTCACACACACACACACACACATAACATCCATCATTCATTTGTGTATTATTTCATCATACTTCATTTGTTTGAAGCTTGTAATTTTCATCATTCAAGTGTTGGGAAAATGACATCTAAGCCCAACGAAGTTTCCAAATCGTTCAAAAAACCTCAATCATGTTTGTATGTTCAAGAAAACTCAATAAACTTAACATTTTATCTAAAAAAGCCCAATGAAGTTTCCAAATTGTTCAAAAAAACCCTAATCATGTTTTTTTTATTTAAAAGGTTAATATCGTTGGGTTTTTTTTTGAACAAACAATACATGATTGAGTTTTTTGAACGGTTGAGAAACTTCGTTGGTCTGACAAGTCATTTTTTTCCACTATGGTAATAAGCCACGTCATCTGTTTATCTTCTTTGACTTGCAACAAATTAAACAAAATTGTAACTTAGTTGTGTTTTTTAGAGAAAATGTTAAGTTCATTGGATTTTCTTGAACAGACAAAACATGATTGGGGTTTTTTGAATGATTTGGAATCTTCGTTGGGCTCGTAAGTCATTTTACCTTCAAGTGTTAAGAGGCATATGCATTATAGATAAGACATGTACTATTAACCCATAATAAATATAAAAAAAGTATTAAACATTATTTCATTTCAAGAAGTAAAAAAAAACATAAAACAATCTTATGAATTGCAACATAAATCTCATGTTGCTTCCTCTTATCCACAAATCATACAATAACATAATCAAAATGACTTCACTGCATCATCATCACTTCCCTTATCTTCTATCAGATAGAGATCGTAGACGAATCCCTATTTTGACTTGATAGAGCACCATTCAACGTATCCATCCAACTATTTTCTAATTTCTTCTTGAGCTAAATGAATTCAAGCTTTATCAACTTTTATTTTTGAGATGTAGAGCAAAAACAAGGCCAACAAGAATTATAGTCTTTGAGGTGAAGGGTATTTGATTATCAATATGTGAGTATATGTTTTTAGTTTAAGTATATGATTTATTTTTCCTAATTACAGTATATAAATATGTCATCTTTATATATTCTTGTTCTCCTTCGTGATATCTTCGTTTCTATATGTCACACTTCCAAAACGGATTAATAAATGAATGAGAAATTACTTGTCAAAGAAGGGCAATTGGAAGAGGAAATAAAGGATTTAAGTGAGTTTTAAGTGGGAGAATGAAAAGGAAATTGGTTTATAACTCCAAAGACTAGCTACCTTTGTAAGACATATTAGAACCAAGGCTCTCTCTTGCACACAAGGGCCTTTTTGCAATTATTTCCTTTTGTTTATTTAACACTATTGTTGAGTAGTTTAAATTTATAAATATTACATATGATTTAAAATAACTAAAAAGATGATTGTATTTATAAAATATTTCATAAAGATCATGATGAATTTGTTAATTGAAAGAAAATATTTATTACAAAGATTTAAGTTAATCTCAACTTAATTAATTAAATTAATGAAAAAAATAATATGACAAAGCAAATAAAACTAAGCTTCTTTAAGGATAAAGGAGGATAAGAGATATCTTTATAATGTATTTATGGGTATAAACCATTCCTCATCATCATCATGTCTTTTCACAACACTTCTACTATACTTTAAAGGTTGTGTTCATTAATGAAGAACTAGTGAAGAAGAGACAAATGAAGAGAATAAGAAAAGAGAAAGATAGACACAATGCCTTCCGTGAAGATCCTTGACCACCCCCATTCTGACACTTACTATATATTGGAAGGGTGTTTACTAATGAAAATCTCCTTCATATATGATTCCTATGCGTCCTTTTATGTCATAGTTATAAAACAACTATTTTATATTTTAACATGAAATATTATAATAAAAACATTAATATTTAAGCACAACTCATGTTCTCTGCTTGATTTATATAAAATATAAAAAAAAGTATTACATCATAGTTACAAATATTTAAAATTCAAATATAATTAAAATACTTTAAATTAAAATATTATCAAAATAGTTAAAATTTAAATATAATCTAAATATTCAAACGTTAAATATAATTAAAATATTTAAAATTTAAATATAATGATAAGATAAATAAAATATTAATAAAAAATAAGATATAAAAAGCTAAAAATAAACTAATTCCTATTTTATATTAGATGATTAATAAATAAATAAATAAACAAATAAACTATAAAGTTTTAGTAGATTTAATAACATGATGATAAACCTCTACTAAAAATGGAGTGAAGACTTATCTCTTCTTTTAAAATGAATTCATTCCCAAATGAATTTCATTGGTTCTATATGTACCAAAAGTTCTATGATTATTTCCAACCCTTAATATTATTTTTTATGTTATATTTATCATTAGGAAAAAATTCAACAAGCAACCATTATTTTTTCAAATTTTAGATTTTATTATTTATCGAAAAAAAATTTAAAAATATAGAAATTCATAACTTTTTAGCTTCTTTCCATTGATATTTTTTTTTTACTTTTTTTATTTGTTTAAATTCACATTGTGAATATGCACTATAAATCATTAATTTTGTATAAATTCACTATCTGAATCTGCACAGATTCACAATGTGAATCTGTGAATCTGAACAGATTATATATATATATATATATATATATATATATATATATATATATATATATATATATATATATATATATATATATATATATGTAATTTGATATCAATGGATGGAGAATAAAAAGTTATTAATATCTTTGTTTTTAGTTTTTTTGATGAAAAATTTGCTTTAAAATTGAGAAAAGATTGGTTCTAAAGTTTAAAATGGTTCATTGTTGAACCGAATCCTTTGTAATTATAAAGTAAAAGATAATGTAAACACAAAATTTCTCCAAAACATAACTTAATATTTAACATTAAAAAGAATATTTTTGGTATATTCTTTTTATCCAACTTTTATCATTTCACAAAAACAACTCTTATATTTATTAGGTTTTTATAAACTTGATTAATATACATTATTACAAATGCTTAATTAGTTATATTATCAAATTTTTATAAACAAAACATCCCTAAATAACTTTATTAAATAAAACAAAGTTACATTTGACACAAATCTAAATAAATATTAAACATGCATTTTGAAAATATCACACATACATTTAAAATAAATAAATCATAACTAAGTCCAAAGTTAATGTATTAAATTGTACAAATGAAACTTCTAATATTATATTTAGTATCCATGAAATAATGTAACATTATATTTATTGTTATACTATTCACCAGCACTATATATAATGTTAGATATAAGGTAAGATTGAAATATTAGAATATAGTTTATAGTGTAAAAGAAGTTTTTTAATATATGATTGAAATATTATACTATAATTTATAATGTAAAAGAAGCATTTTAGTGTAATGTATAATAAATTAACTTAAGTAGTTAAGTTACATAGTAACTTAGTTTAATTATATTATTTTATTGGAAATGCTAAGTTTTTTTTTACTTATATATAATTAAGGGAGAATTTCATATATGCCCTTCTTAAACCTCAAAATATCATATTTGCCCAGCTTAATTTCTTAATATCATATTTACCCTTCATAAACATTCAAAATATCATATTTGCCCAAATCCTTTTTTATAATGTTTTTAATATTTTATAATCATTTTTTATAACTTAAAATTACTATAATAGTTAAAAAATTTAACGATATTATCCTTACGTCTATGATAATGGAATGTGAACTTCTAAATTGTTGGAATGTCGTCCTCTTGACAAACAAAAATATTCATCTTCAACCCTCTCTATGGAATGTATATTTTGATTGTTTAGTTTTTTTGTTGATTATATTGTAGATGAAGAATATTTTAGATATTACCATTGATATTTTGATGTTTAAAAAGTACATATACGATATTTTGATATTTAAGAAGGGCATATATGATATTATGATGTTTAAAAAGGACATATATGATATTTTGAAATTTTATGAATGGTAAATATGATATTTAGAAATTTTATGAAGGGTAAATATGATATTTAGAAATTAAGTTGGGTAAATATGATATTTTGATGTTTAAGAAGGGCATATATGAAATAAGGTTTATAATTAAATTAAATTATGATAATAATGTAATAATACTAAACATATATGATTACTATAATTATCAACTAATAGTAATGTAAACTATATGGTTTGTGGTAACTATATGGAAAGATGATATAAA